TATTTTTGCCATAGCTATGGAAACAAAGAACACATAGCCTATTATTTGCGGATTGTCTTCAGCTTTGTTAGACATACTGATCACAAATATAATAATCCCTTTATCGATTGGCTTTATTGATTTATAGACTCCCAGAGTTATCTATTATCTACTGATTCATTGATTGTTCCGGAGCTTCGCTCTGTATTGGAAGGACAATGGTTTATTAACATCGGTGATCAAGAATATGACCGGTGCTCCACCTCTCCTTTTAAGAGATTCGCACTGTTTGTGTATTACAGAGTTAAATTTCTTGGTTTCTTCGTTAGCAGAAATACTCTCCAATTTAATTTAGAACTCACATGTGCTTTACTGCGAAAGGTTTGAAAGTTTGATCTCACCGTTTGAGCCATTTAGAGGAAAAAAAGGCACGGAGGCCATCCGATATCACCGCTGTGCCTCACCACAGCAATACGAAATGAACAAAAATTGTTCATGCTTAGTGTCCTGAAGTTAGATAACTGCCCTAATTTCTCAAGATAAATGAACTAACGTGAAGAAAGAAACACACACACATACAGACAAACTTAGCGTTAAGAAATGTTCTCAATCAAAACAATATTACTGCTCTTATGATTTTTAGGTTTTTCGTACTTTCCGTCCTTAACTGCTAACAGTTAATGTGAAAGTGCATGTTAACAAGCTAAACAAGTGTGGTAGTTATTTTTTTTGCAGCCTAGATTTATTAAAACAATATATTGGTAATCTCAAAAGTGAATTGCGCAGAAAAAAACTTAACTCGTAACTCAGAAGACTACTGACAATTCTAAATTAGCCGGTATCGAGACAAGCTAATCACTCATTTCATGTTTGTAAGCCTACCTCCTCCCGTTTGTGTTCAACCTACTTTTTTGTATCTGTCATTGCTACATCGTCTTGCTATCTAAAGTTAATTTAGATATATTTAGGATAGCATCTTTTCCACACCTCAGAAATCTTCGTCTAAACCTGTGTTCGAAGATGCTGTTTACAAAAGGATACATAGGCAGTTTAATGAGTAAGAAAACTTTCCTAAAAATATTCACAGCTAAGTGAATTTTTCTTTTCGCAGACAGATATCATTGATTCGTGGTAGTGGAGTCCCACCACCGGAACGTGGGTCTACTGTTTCGCTTGACTTGGGTACACTCAAATGGAAGC